CTCTCTCTCTCTCTCTCTCTCTCTCTCTCTCTCTCTCTCTCTCTGGAAAAAAACAGACCGTCAATATCTACAAGTATTCATGACCCGTCTTCTTGGACATAACGAGGGAAGCCACCAGAAGAGTGAACAAGCAGAGTGCCGAATTCCTAAGCAGAAATCAAAGCGAGTTTCACATCAAGCTCGTTCGTCTCCCTTCCACGAACGTATGTTTATTACCGCACGCCTTTTTTCTCTATGCCACATTTTATCTTGCTGGTATGTTTTTCCCTTTTGCTTGTTTTGAACATTCGTTTCGTTTCGTGACTTTTGTTTTTTGGTGGTCCATAAAGTGCTTGTTTTTTGGTGGTCCATAAAGCCGGTCGTCAAACACCAATAGTTTTTTTGTCCGTTCGTTTCGTTTCGCGACTTTTGTTTTTTCGGTGGTCCACAAAGTGCTTGTTTTGAACATTTTCTCCGCTCGTTTTGCTTCCCGACCACTTTTTATTATTTTAATGGTATCCCATCCATCATAAATTTCTCCCTTCGCAGTCCGTATTTCACTGCTTTTCGGCAGGCTGCTTTTCGCGACGACGGGAATAATTGATTCCACGACTGCTCGTTCGTATTTTGTGTGGAACTTGCCTGCTTTCGATTGACTCGATGATATCTATGTTCTGTGGCAGGTCGCAATTTCTTTCGTTGGTGTGTAGACGTTGTTGACAGGCCTTTCATTTCGTGGGAGACTTCAGTGCTTCAGTATAGACATCAGTGCTCTGCCCTCGGCCTATATTTTCTCTTTGTATTTCCTCACCAACGGTACACCCGCTATTTACTGACATGCCCCCGCTATCTACTGACATGCCCCCGCTATTTACTGACATGCCCCAACTTGCCTTATTGCTGTTACCGCTGCGTGTTTCGTCGCGTCTACGAATGGAGCCTTTTGAAGAAAAGAGGAAAGAAAACGAACGATAAAAAATAGGGACGAGCCGTATGAATGATGTGCGCAAGAAAGACAGAGTCAGACACATCATTCTCATCACAACACGTGCATATGCAAGAGACACATGTATGAAATCGAGCGCAAGTTGATTGAAGAAAAGAGGAGGGAAACGAACGATAAAAAAGAGTGCCATCGCGTGCATAGGCAAGAGACACATGTATCAAACCGAGCGCGAGTTGAAGAAACGAGGAAAGAAAACGAATGACAAAACAAATGGGGTCATCGCGTGCATAGGCAAGAGACACATGACAATTTCAACCAAAAAGAAAAGTCGAAATAGCGAACGACAAAGAAGACGACATAACGTACAGAAAATGCAGTTGTATCAGAGGAGTGTTTGAAGAAAGAGGAAAGAAAACGAAAGACAAAAAAATAGGGCCATCCCGTGTGCATAGGCAAGAGACACAACAATTTCAACCAAAAAGAAATGTCGAAATAACGAGCGACAAAGAAGACGACAGACATAACGTACAGAAAATGCAGTTGTATTGGAGGAACGAATAACAAACTACTGTATTATAAAACATTCTCAACATAAAGAAAGAAACTGAAGGCCAATTAAAACGCAGATTCTCCTTCTTCGAGTAATTCGCATAGGTTGTGGAGCAAAAAAATGTGATCACTACCAAAGTGATAAACTTTATAAATCTTCGGTTTTAACAGACCGATTGAATGACAGAGAAAGAGGCATAGACAGTTTCGGCATTTGCACAGCATTTTTCCACAACAATGTGACCCCAAAAAATGTGATCACTACCAAAGTGACAAACTTTATAAATCGTCGGTTTTGACAGACCGATTGAATGACAGAGAAAGAGGCATACATAGTTTCGGCATTTTTGCACAGCATTTTTCCACAACATTTTGTGAGCCGGAGGCAACACAATGTAACCATGCATTGCAGCAAAACACTTCCTTTAAAACGAAGCAAAGAACACAATTGTAAATTTCGACATCTTCTCGAAAGACTCAGGGAAGAGGGAAACAATAGCAAGGGATACGCATCTCGTAAGAACAAGGACGAGACAGAAATGAACCCGAAACCGAAGAAGTGGAAATAAAAGCGCGTTTTACACCAAATAGCAAGTCCTGTCCGACAAATGGGAGCCACGCCAAACTTATCTGTCATGTATCATACATGGAAGCTGGACCCGCTTTCCAGCAGGTGCCGCTCCCCATCAATAGATGGAGCCTTCCACAGGGAGGGGACAACTTAAGAGGCCAGCCAGCAGGTGCTGCTCCCCATCAATAGATGGAGCCTTCCACAGGGGACACAACTTAAGAGGCCAGCAGGTGCTGCTCCCCATCAATGGATGGAGCCTTCCACAGGGGACAATTCAACTTAACAGGATGCATCTATCACCCCCGGTGAGCGGCTAACAAGCGAAGAAGTTTTCTCAGAAATAAAAAAAAAAGAGGAACGAGCGAGACTCCGAGGTCGCACGGTAATGAAAAAGCCCTTCAAACACCTCCAATCACCTCTCAAACAGAAGACCAGACAGTATTGGGCCGAAAATGAAAGCAGAAATACTGACAAGTCCCACACCAAAAGAACGAGCAAAGCATGGATGTTTCATAATACAGCCCTTCCAAAGCGTATCCAATAATTGAGTTGAAAAAAACACGCAACAAATGTGAACAGCAAGAAACCAAGTTTCGACATCTCACGGCAGACACAATGACAACAATGACTCGAGATTGCAAACAGAAATCTCAACGCGTTTCACACCAAATACTAAACACGACAGAAATACTGAATAATCCTGATAATAAAAGCCCTTCCAGCGCTGCGTCCTCCTCCACCATTGCCCTGCTCCTTCTCCTCCACCGCCGCCAGTGCCCTGCTTTTCCTCCTAGTCCTCCTCTTCCCACTATCATCTGCTCTCTTTTTTGCGTTTCTTACTTTTGCGAGAACTACGCAAGAGTCACGAAAATGAGTTATAATTGCACTACTATGGGCCAAGATACACTTTCGAATTGCTGTTCGGGCAATGTATACAACCCAGCTTTCTGCCCAGGTAAGATGCCCGAAGCGCAATTGCAAACTGGGTCTTGCCCCAAAGTGCAATTATAACTCGTTCTCGTGACTCTACTCGAGTTACCCCTTCCCAGCATCTCTCACGTATTCCTCCGCCATCACCCTCATCCTCGAGGCCATTGCCATCCTCCTCCGCCTCCTCCTCCGCCGCCATCTCCTTCTCCTCCTCCTATGCCTTCACCCTCCTCCACGTCATCGCTTACCGCCTCTCCGCCATGACTCTCCATATCATGGAAGGAATATAAAGCCGAAGAAGAAGAAACGACATACCTCCTCCTCTGACATCGCCCGCCTCCTCCTCGCCCTCCCGCTTCCATCTTTCTTTTTTTTTTTCTAGTCGTTCTCCACCACCGCGCTCCTTTCATTTCCAATCTCCTTCCCTCCTCCACCATCGCCCTCCTTTTCCGCCATCACCATCCTCCTCGGCCTCCTCCTCCTCCCCCCACTATCGCCTTCCTCCACGTCCCACGTCCTCCCTGCCAAACGATCAGGAGGAAACGACATAACAAACAGAAAAAAAAGGGAAAAAAAGAAGCTTCATTACGAGGTAGTTTATCAACTTACCTTGATGTTGGAGAGGCTCTCTCTCTCTCTCTCTCTCTCTCTCTCTCTCTTTCTCTTTCTTCCCGCCAGGCTGGGTCAATGGGCGGGCGTAGAAAGCCAGGCAGCGTCAGCAAGATCGCTTATGGAGGCGGCCACAACGACTACGTCCACTGAGGCGACGTCAGATTTAAAAAGGTACGCCCCCAAGCTTCTCCCGTGTGGTCCCACTTGAAGTCATGAAGAGATCAGGGCCGTCCCGTCATAAACGGCCAAAATCTGTTCATTACTTGAAGTGGGAGTAGGCCTCACTGTCGGAGGAGTCCTTCGGGACATCCGTTAAAATTGGAGCGATACAGAGAAGATTAGCATGGCCCCTGCGCAAGGATGACGCGCATAAATCGAGAAATGGTCTCATTGTCGGGGGAGTGGGGAGGAAGGGGGGAGCAGGGGCGCAGAAAAGGACAAATCGTGTAAGAAGTACTAAACCAACAGTAAGTGGCCCAGCTATGAAGTTCGAGCCTCGGCCAACGGGTATGCCGAACCTTGCCGGGGTTTGGAATACAGTCCCGGACCTACTGCTGAAAGAAAAGGGGGGGAAAAAGAGAGGGAAAAAAAAAACGACATCCCACTACCCGTAGTCAAAAAGGAAAGAGAAACTTTGCGAAATGCCCCTCCAAAATCCATATATTTGCGGCATGCCCCTTTGACGGCGGATCTACACTGTCGTGCCCCTCTGCAATGGTTCACCTTTCCGACAACCTCCCGGCGTCGTTTGGGCCAGAAAAATATTCAAAATGCCCCTACCTTTACCCGTTCCAAATTTCTAGTATGGCCCAGCGGCATAGCCGTTGAGTACAAGGTCAAAAAAAATCCATATGTCATACCGGTACCTAACATCTTTCCAATATGCCCCTGTGCCCGTTGGTGGAGGTTGCGGCTGTTCCCCTGGCCTTGGGAGGACGGTTACCGGGACATAATGGACATTTGTCATACAGCCCAACTTGCTGCCGTGCCCTCAATTCGATGGAAAACTCTCTCTCTCTCTCTCTCTCTCTCTCTCTCTCTCTCTCTCTCTCTCTCTCTCTCTCTCTCTCTCTCTCT